AAGCACCTGGTCTCTTCCTATCTTCTCCAGTGACATTCTATGCTGACAGAAACAGCCTTCTGTGTTTTCTCTTCCAATATGTTCTCGTAACGTGGAGAGTTTTGTCTTTTGAACATGTACCTTGTCAAATCATTTGCACTTTTAGCCTATGATGTCTGAGATCAGGCACAGCTGGGAGATCAGCTGTATTAGTCACAAGCCAGTCTAGGGTTGTGGGGCTTGTAGAGTTCCTGGGGGTGCGAGTAGCATTGGAACACAGTAAAACATCTGAACTACCAAACAGAAATGTAGGAAATGCCTGTGATTTAGATAAAGTACATCACTTTATGTTGCAGGCTGAATTCACACAGCAGGCAGACGTTAAAGACATCTAGAACTGCTATGGATCGGAGAGTGGATGGCATCTGTATGAGCTGTTCATCTACTGAGCAAAAGAGCCTCATTCCCCCTTTTGCTGAAGTGAGCATCCACAGATATCTCTTCTGCAAGCTCATTTACAAGCACAGGAACTTGCACTTTTATTCTATTACTCTGATTATTTCACAGATGTTTGGAGTCAGAAGGGGTCCTTGAGGCTATCCAGTCCAACCTTTGTTCAAGACCATGATCTTGTGTCTGCAGCATCAGAAAAAGATGGTTGCTCTACCTCAACCAGTTACTCAATTTAACTCAGTTCAGCTCAGCTCAGCTCAACCTCTTTCCTTAGTTTAGCCATGGAGATTCATTACCTGCTAATGAATGGTTTCAAACAGCACTTATTATTAAGAAAGGTTTTCTGGAGCTTAATTGAAAGTTGTTTTTTTTATTTACCATTTCAACTATTCATTTTTGTCCTACCTTCTAGAGCAGTTTCTCAAGCTTTGCAGCTTTAAGCCATGTGGCTTAAAACTCAACTTCCAGAATACCCCAGCCAGTATTTCTTGCTATTTCACTGCTGGCTGGGGGAATTCTGGAAGTTGAAGCCCACACCGTTTAAAGTTGCTAAACTTGAGAAATGCTGCTCTGGATGTAGTACATCTCTTTCATCTTTTCCTGAATAATCATTAGGACAGTTGAAGACTGCTATCATGTTGCCTCTTAATTTTGCCTCTTAATCATCTCTTGTCCAGGGTAAATATGCCTGTTTTCATGATCCTTTATATAGACATGCTTCATGACAACTGTTCCGCTCCCATTACAAAAAGAATTCATGGTACAATGATATCATACTGTTTTAAAAAAATATTACTCCTTAGTACTTATTTTGTGTATCAATATGGTACTTGCAAGAACTTGCTTTGTATAGCAATATAGCAACACAGTTGTGCATAATTGACCTTAAAATACAGTCACATCTCCTTCAACTTATACTGTATTTAATGCCATGGACAGGTCCAGTTTTCTTAATAACCATAAGGAAGTGGCGGGGGGAGGCTGTCTTGATAAAGTTGTATTTTATCAATCCAGCCTCTAATCCTCTCTAATACTCTCTGTTGATTTTCACCCAATTTATTGAAGTTCAGGAAACACTCTGAAATGGCAACAGAAGCATATACTTTCTTTGCAGGTATGATTTGTAGTATGTAATCCATACATTCTATTTTGTGTATAACTTGTGTATAACTGAGACAAATTTTCCAGTGTGTTTAAAATGAAATAAAATGATATGGCAATAATATCCTGAAACTACAATGCTGTACTAAGCTCCACCGGTTGATAACATGTATTTAAAATCAACAACCTAGCAGACCAGGGCAGCTAGATAGACATCCAGTTACTGGAATTTTTTTAGAGGAATCTGAAACAGTAACATGACCTTCTGTTTCTCCTGCCTCCTAGCATGTGTGTCCTAACAAAAATGAAGTACACTCAACCTTCAAGTGTCTCTCAGGAGTTACAGCCATTGCCATACTATATATTGATGTGTGCTGCTTGATTGCATTAAAAATACAGAAGATGCTGTGTTGTACTTCTTCTACATGCTGCCAACCAAGTTGCAATTGCATTTCTAAAAAAAGAAACACCAGCATGGCAGTATATCTGAAACAAAAGGGGTTCAGTGCACATTCTGTTCAAATGGTGAGGAAAAAAGACAATGTAATACTATCACACCCTGCCTTTCTCATTAATCCTCACAGGCATTTTAGCTGGTTCTTTGAAACAAGCAAATCTTATTCTTAGGGAGATACCAAAACTCTTTGACTACTGTTGTGATTTTGAACCTAGAGAGGTGCAGGCTTATCTGGCAGTAAACAGCCCAAAGCTCAGGTTTTTTTATAAAGTGGAAGGAGGAATGATGGTAGTTTACTATTGCTTCCAAGGCAAAACCAAGAATTCAGGATCTATGCAATCCCTGATATGAGCAAAATGTCATTGGCACATATGCCTGAGGACAAGGAAGAAGCCAGAAAGTGATGGCTTTGAAAAATATCAATTCTTCATTTGGAGACATAAGACAAATGCAAGGAGAAGCTTGAGAAAGTGGATGTGTTTAGTTACTCATAATTGCTGCTAAGGGAAGGCACAGTAGCAGTTCTCACATCAGTTCATGGTTCAGCTGAGATGCAAAGCCGGCTCTCTTTGGAATAAATCCAGTGATTCTGCAGAGGATGCTTAAATAAATAATGCTGTACAATCTCCTATTTAATAAAAAGAAAAAGCTCATGTTGAAGTTATGCAATTGTAGAACTCCATTTCCCAACATGATGCTCTCCAGATGTTTCATGCAGGAGGACAACTGCTATACTTCCATCCTGCATACTGTAGTCTTGCCAAGGATGAGAGGAGCCATTACAGTCAATGTTTGCACCAATCAGAAATGAGATTGTTCTGAAGATCCATCAGAGTCTGCCTTTGCACCAACCTGGCAACTTTGATATGTTTCCACAACACCACCTCTCTTTGGCAGCCAGGCTGGTTTTCTTTAATCCAGCTATGGTGCATTTCAAATCTCAAAATAATCATTTTAGGATTGGCAATGCTGGAGCTCTGCAGGGCTTGGGAGTGAGCCATCTTCTGATTTACAGCAAGAGTGGCCTGATCTACCTGCCACCTCCAATCTTGAGCCTCTGCAATACAGAAGTCTACAACTTCTTGTTACCACTCCAAGGACCAAACTCCAAAAGTAGATGTGGCCAGGCTTCTCCTGGGAGAGGATTTCAAAACTTTTAAAAAGTGAAATTAACAATCACAACATTTGAAGAATACTTTTGCCCCATAGACTTACCAGTCCCAAAAGGTTGCAACAAATAAGATGCAGGTATTTAGACTTACCTCTTCTGAATGGGTTTTGGGTGCCATAGAAGGGATGGTGATGGTGCAGGAGCATTCATAAGGGGAAGGGGCAAAAAAGTCAAAGATGAAGTTAAAGAAGGGGGTCGGGCTATAATCATACGGTTGCAGCTGCTGTCTTGACTTTTTTGCCTGCCCTCTGCAGACACCTCTGCTAGTAAACAATCTGCAGTCTCCGGGCCATACTTTTTCATTTTGCTCCAATAAATATCAAACAGAGACTTTTACAGTATTAACAAATCCAGTCTTCAATCTTCGAGCCAGTTTTACAAGCCCTACACAAAATGCTCAGGTATATAAACAATGGTTATCGAAGTATTGACTCATCCTATTTCCCATCTCTGGGATCCAATGAAACATTCTACAGCCCACCATCCAAATGGCCATATACTATAGGGTTTATAGTAAAATCCATAGCCATGGCTATACCCACCAAGAAATGCATTTGGTTGCAAAATATGCAACCTGCAATGGTCACGGTTTCCAGCAATAATTTATAGGCAAGGAAAATGACTTCTTGATACTCAGGATGCTTTCCTCTTATACCAACAATTAAGGTGTTCTTTTCTTTTTAAAAAAATACACCCCCCTCCCATAATCCCTTGATTTCTATGTATTGCAGGACTAAGGAGAAATTATTGCACCAGCAGCTGTACCTAACTCAGGAGGCACAGCACTGTTTGAATCACATTTTTTGCATTCTCTGATTGGCTGATTAGCAAGAACTCTGATTGGCTCATGGTGATCCCTGCTTTTCTCAATGTTCCATGTTGGCTCTGAAGGTGAAATTTTGCTGGATTATACAGGTGGTCCTCAATTTACAACCATTGGTAATTACAATGGCACTGAAAAAAGTGTCATATGACTATCCTCGCATTTACATCCCTTATAACATCCCCTAGTCATGCCATTACATCACAAAAATATGGGCGCTTGAAAAGTGGCATGTATTTATTATGTTTGCAGCATCCTGGGCTCATGTGTTCACCATCTGAGACCTTTCCAACTGGCTTCCGATCAGCAAATTCAAGAGGGGAAGCCGGATTTTGCTTACTAACTGTGTGGCAAACTTAATAACGGCAGTGATTCACTTAATAACCTTGCAAAAAAGGTCATAAAATGGGTTTGACTTACTTAACTGCCATTTTGCTTAACAACAGAAATTCTGGATTTAATTGTGGTCATAAGTCTAGGACAGCCTGAATATATAAAGCCAACAAGCTATAGTGAATGGCGTTTGTGACTCTGCACTGCAATGGTATAGCTGCATATAGGCCTCATTATTCCCATTATCTTCATTTCCTTCCTCATTTTCCATTTCTTTCCTTGATAGTCAAGTTTCTATAAGCCCTGAGCATGGTTCAACCAAGCCATCTTGAGACCTGTGGTTTTGGAAAATATTCCACCTCAAAAGTTTCCTGTAATTCTTCAAATCTCAAGAGTACCCCAAACGTACTAATAATGCTCTCTTATTTGTGAATGGGCACTGTTTTGGTTGCCTGGCAACAGCCCTCTCTGCCTCACATGTAAAATAAAGGGAATCAGTCTGCTCTTAAATATGGAAGTTCCATTTCAGTGCCACAGTGTACAGAACTTATTATATTTCATCATCTTTTAAAAACAGGAGAGAAATCTGTTCCATCCTCTGGAACAAAGTACACTAAAGATTCCCTTTGAAGAAAAGGATGTCTTAGACAAGAGAGATGGCCTCGCTACTGAGCATTACTCACACACATAAGTGAAGCTATCCTCTTCCTCGGATGGGGCTGCTGTAGATGCCAGCCATGGCTGGGTAGGCTGCAGAACCTGTTCTTTAAGTTCTTCCTTCTTGGTCTCTTCATCCAGCTTCTCCTTGTCATCTGGTTCCTTCACTTCGGTCAACACCACCTCATGGGGCTCCTCTTGGTCAGTCATTTCGGACAACTCCAAGACTTCTTGCAAATGCTTCAGAGAGAAGATCCACAAAAAAAGTTACAAAAGTAATTTTCACATGGCATTCCCCTCTCAGAAATCCAGGAAGGGCACAAGGTAAAGCTGGTTGCTGGGAGGGACATAAGAGAAAGACGGTTATCTCTCAACTTGTGTATTCTGTTTTATTCCAAACACACACACATCATTCCTTCCTTCCCCTCCCTCCCCCCCCCAAGCCTTTTAGCTCTCTCCCAAATACAGTCATGGGAGGTGGGCGGAACAGAACAGAAGGGGAAAAAAACTCCAGGAAAAAATCCAGAGTTTCTTCTTCCTTTTTTTCAAACAATATTTTTATTTCTCTTGGGTCACTCTTCAGGCTTAGTGGGAGGGTGGGAGTGGAGAGAGGAGAGGAGAGGAGGAGAAGAGGGGAGTAGGGGGAAGGGGAGGAAAGGAAAGGAGTGGAGTGGAGTGGAGTGAGGCAGGGGTGAAATCCAGCAGGTTCTGATAGATTCTGGAGAACCGGTAGCGGAAATTTTGAGTAATTCAGAAAACAGGCAAATACCACCTCTGGCTGGCCCCAGAGTGGGGTGGGAATGGAAATTTTGCAGTATCCTTCCCCTGCTATGCCTACCAAGCCACCCCATTCGACGCCCACAAACCACACCCAGAGAACCATTAGTAAAAAATTTTGGATTTCACCACTGGAGTGAGGAGGAAATCTCCTCCAGTTTGGGGAGGCAATCTTCATATCACTAGGATTTACAAGCTCTAACATGAAACATATACTTCCATATCTGAATACAAAATTCTAATTTATAATATTTGCAGTTGATAAAAATACAACCATTCTTCTATTGATTGATTCAGGTTTTTAGCCCTAAAGTTCTATTTTAAAAAAAAGACAGGCTGGCACCAGGGTGTATATGTGAATTCACATTCAATATTCGTTGCTATTTTGCAATTACCATTCTTCTGTTACCATAGCTCTGATTGTACTGTTTGCTTTGCACAACTTGGTCTTTTTAAATTAAAAAAATCTCTTTGCTGTAGGTTATTTTTTTTTTCATAACTAACTAAATCATATTTGTGCACAGTGAAAGACCCATTGATGTTAAGAAAAAATGGGCCATACCTATACCCAGGAGAAACTAGACTTATTAACTGCTGTCAGGCCATATGCTAATATATTTAAGTCTGAGACGGAGTTGGCATCATCAGTTAGCTTCCATGTCCTCTCCTAGATAACAATTGCCTAAAACCACTTACCTTTTCCAGTTAGGCCAATGTCTAGGGCAGTTTTTCTCAACCTGGACAACTTTTAAGATGTGTGGATTTTAACACATGCTGTTTGGGGAATTTTGAGAGTTGAAGTCCACACATCTTAAAGTTCTAAGGTTGAGAAATTCTGATCTGGAATAGAGACTGCGAATCTGTTGGGCTTGGTGCGTCAAAAATTTGAAAAATGCTTAACATGACTCTGCTGGAATAACCACACATACACGCACATGCACACACATGCACGCACACACACCTCCCAAACAAAAGAGAAACAATTCTTTAGATATTTATTTACAATTCAATACACTTCTTGTTCATCAAACACAAAAGATGAGTTCATTTGATCATTGATTGTGCACTCATTTTGGAGCCTGAAGTTCCAGATATCCTCTGCCCTTGTGCCTTGAAAATGAGCTTTTGCTGTGCAAACAGCTGTCTCATGAAGCAGTGGGAAGATGGCTGAACTATGCAGCTGCCATGCTCCTATCACATTTTGCAAGTTGCTCTCTCTTTCAATCACAGTTCTGAAATTAATAGATCGTGTGCTGATATGGATGGTGAGAATCCATTTTAAGCTTGGGAGGGGGGTGTTGCAGGGTCGCATATTCCTTATATTTGCTTCTTTCAGTTTCTTTGGTAACTGTAGGAAGTTAAAACCCACCCTCTCCTAGAAAAATGAAATATTTTAGGAAATATTAAAAGGGGAGAATATTTCCCCTAAAAAGGAGGCAGAAACTCAGCCCCCCTCCCCCCACCACCACCACCTTTGTCAATGGGCCATTAAGACCTGGGCCAGCCTATGGTACATAACAAAGATCTACCTCAGAAATGTAAAATTTGTTGCTACCGGTTCTGTGGGCGTGGCTTGGTGGGGCATGGCTTGGTGGGAGTGTCATGTGACTGGGTGGGCGTGGCCAACCTTTTTTTTTTTACTTTTTTAAAGCATTTTTTTACTACTGGTTCGGGCGAATAGTAAAAAAGATAAAATAGTAAAAAAAATGCTTTAAAAAGTAAAAAAAAAAAAGGTTCTGACAATCACAGCTTGGTTTTTACTACTGGTTCCGGCAAATAGGTAGTAAAAAAATGCTTTAAAAAAGTTTTTAAGAAGGATCCGAAGATCACAGCTGTGCCGCGCAATCATCGGAACCATTTTTTTACTTTTTTAAAGCATTTTTTTACTACCAGTTCACCCGAACCGGTAGTTTTTATCACTACTGGTTCGCCCAAACCAGAGTGAACAGGTAGCATTTCACCCCTGATCTACCACCTTCAGGCATTGAATTGTCCTTCATTGCATCACCCAGCAAGATTCAACCAAACTTAACACACAAACAACCTAAAAAGTTAGCTATGACCTCTGACAGCAACCAATCAGGATACTCTTCCTGTGCCCCTGGAAGTTCAAAGCCAGAGAGGGTATAAAACCCAGGAACTCTCAGCATCTCTTCCCTTTTTTCGCCCAAGATCTCCAAGGCAAGCGATCCTGTTCATCAATAAACCTTCTTTCCAAGCAACTTCGATGAATCCAGTATTTTTTTCTCCACTTGGAACTGAACCCAAAAGGATATTTCTTCCAACAACTCAAACAGGGAAAATAGTCCTTGTCAGGTGTTGGTGAATGCTGGCATGTAACCCATAACATCATGGCATGCCACTTTTGACATGTATTTCACACGATTGCCATCAGTGATCTTGAAGATCAGAAAAAAAATGAAGCTTCTGCTTTTCTTCTTTGTATTCTTTCCATTGTTTCAGAGCCTTTTCTCATCTTACTCTTTCCAATCTACCCCTTGTTCAACTACATTTACAGATTGATTTTTTGAGATTCAAAAAACACTTCTTTTTGCAACTTTCTTTACAAAGTTGGAAGGACCATTCTTTTCAGTTGCTGTAGCCAATACCAATTCAAATTATGGTAGTATGGGATTATGAGTACATGACATGGATCTTGTAACTTGTTAACTAACATAGTTACTTTGTATTTTAATTTGACTTATTTCTCTCTTTTATGAGGATTTAGCAAACCACTATAGATTAGAATGTAGGAAAACTTTCTATCTTATTGCTGTATGGATTGATTGATTGATTGATTCATTGATTGATACTTCTAATATTCCTAAACTGAAAAGATAAACTACAGAAGAGTGGATTGTGAATTTTCAAACAACCTTTGTAGCTGATTTACTGTGTGAAGGAGAAGTTACTTTTATCTTGTCCAAGAACCTAGGATCAGATTTGGCTATCAATTAGGTACACATTTTTAATCAATTGTTTGACATATGCGGGTATGGACCTTTTTTTTTTTTTTTACAGGGGGTCCACAAAAAAGTTAACGTGACCCATCCTTTTTTCTTTTTCTTTTTCTTTTTCTTTTTTTGCATGCTTTATAGGGGGCATCTGCAATCTTGACTTTTTTATCAATAAATGTCAACCTGACAATATACCTATCTGATTGAAGCCTGGCCCATTATATAGGCTTGTTTAAAAGGCTTGGCTTTGATTGGACCCTCAGAAATGACATTGTGAGTTATTTTGAATGGCTGCCTCTGTTTGACCCTGATCTTCATCCTCCCAACTGAGTTCTGGATGTAGCTGCTTCCTGAAGTTATATGTGGGATAAGTTGTTAAATTTATACTATCTGTTCTTGAGTGTGGAGGCAGCCCTCCTTCCCTTTTACCTGAAATCTAGGTAAGGCAGAACAGGAAATGCCCCTCCTTTTGTGGATGTTATTTATAAGTAGTTTTGGAGTATGTGGTGCTACTATAAACCCAATGCTAGCATAACAATTAATAAATGTGTTTTATTTTAGTAAATGCGACAAAATAGACAGTTGGGGAATTAGAACCTGAACCAAATTATACCAGACTGCATACAAGTGCCAGAAATTAATCAAGCAAAAAGATAAACTTAGAAACAGGGATAACCATGAGAATGAAGACAAGTCTACAGAGCAGAATCAAACAATACTGAAAACAAAGAAATAATGCTTGATGCTTTTGCATATATTTTTCCTGCCAATTCTGCACTTTTAATTCTAGTATTGTCAGAACTTGAGTACCAGGAAAAATCTGCTCCTTCAGCCCTTCCTACTACCCTCAGGTTTTTATTGCCAATTTTGACTGGAAAAAAGAAACTTCTACCTGCCTCCTCCAGCCTGGAAAGGGATAGTAGCTTTTGCAGAAATATTTGTTTTCTAGAAAGAAAAATATTATTTATTTAGTCTTGAAGGTCATTATAAGTATTATCACTTCCATCCACTATCAGTATTTCTCAAACTTGACAACTTTAAGATGTGTAAATTTTAATTCCCATGTTGGCTGGGAATTCTGGAAGCTGAAGTCCAGTGTTTCTTAATATTGTTAATTTTAGGAAACACTGCATTACATTAATTAACTTCTCTCTATGCATTCCTGCTATTGATTCATGTAGCAACATAGACCTGCATTATTTACAAATTTTAAAATGTGGTTAGAAACCACACCTTGCAGTGCGTCAAGTACTGGACTATTTTCCAGTTTTTGCTTTGCTAGGCAGGGACCAAAACAGAAAGCTGATGCGCAATGCTCATGACTATAGTCCTTTTACTTTTTATGTTGTCACTTGTGGAAACATGGAGTACTATGATTTAGAAACTTAATAGGAACATATATCATAAATTTAAAAGTCACCCAGTTAAAAATGCTAGGTATTTAAACAATTGTGTTTGTTCTGTAATAAAACAATGAGCATAGCATCTAGAAATTAAATGCAAAAG